AGATGTTAACCCTGAATTAGATGTTAACCCTGAATTAGATGTAAACTGAATGAGATGTTAACCCTGAATTAGATGTTAACCCTGAATTAGATGTTAACCCTGAATTAGATGTTAACCCTGGACAGAAAAGCAGCAACTACGTGCTCCCTGTATTTTTTTCAGAGAGCATACAAATGAGAAACAAGGAAATTCGCAACAACAGAAAACTTTATTGACAATACATGCCAAAAAAATAAAATAATTGGAATATTTACTCTGAATCCTTCCTCACAGTGGATTTCATGATACACAAATACATATTGCATATGATGTGAAAGTTCTTGCAAAAAATACTAACAACACTCACTTCTCCATTGTAAAGTTCTCCGAGATAACGGTATTATAAGTTTATGTTTGGCACTCAAGTGAACCTAGATGTCTAAACCATGTAGAGAAAATACAGAAAATGCTGGGCAAACATCTGAACAAAAATAAATATATGTTCTTATTGATTTTTTTTTAAAATTACCTAGACATCTGATGAATATATTAATTCAGTATTATTTATAAATCATATAATTAAATAGTCCCTTCTTTATAAAGACATTAAAAACAGGTGCTTTTGCTTGTAATTCCAATCTAAAATAAATGTTTAAATTACCTCCCTTAGGTCACACTACTTTTACCTGGCATTGGAAGAAAAACATCTTTTACATCAAAAATGTCATCTAGAATTTTACACATTCTCAAAAGTAATGTAGTATTAAACTTATCACAAGTCACTTATATGCTAAGCTTTTTATTATCTTGTAGCGATGATGTCTTGTACACTTAGCCATACATTACATTTACTTGGTAACAAAGCGCCTTCACCCAAGCCAAGGAACATTACAGTGATGGTCGATCACGGTTGGTTTCTCTCCACAGCAATGACAACATCACGACTAAAATTTAGACTTTTCCGTACACACAGCAAAAAACCCATCTCTACAACAGGAGAAGGCTTACAAGTATGACAATCATTTAAAATATTTATTTGACACTTATTGTTTTAAAAGATTTCTCCACATAACACCAAACACTTAGTGATATGGATTTTTTACCTGCTTTCAGAAGACATTGCTAATCTCGGCATGGGGGTAGGTCATGTTTTCATGGATATAGATACTAACAGGTCATGTTTTCAGAATTATACTTGACTTCTATGTCATTTTGTTTCTAGAACTATACTATATATAATAGGTCATGTTTTCAGAATTATACTTGACTTCTATGTCATTTTGTTTCTAGAACTACACTATATATAATGGTAAGTCATGTTTTTAGAGTTACACTAGACGAAGTGGCACTGAAAAAGGTCTTGTTTTTAGAGTTACACTAGACATAGGGGCACTGAAAAATGTCATGTTTAGAACTACTGCAGGGTAGACCATGTTTCTAGAGCAAGCCGTAGTACATTTTAATACTGTACAATCTCCATTAATTAGTCTTGAAAGTATTACATCATTATTTGCAAAATAATACACATATAACGTGCACACTGTCTTGTTTTTCCATAGAGAAAATTCCATGCCCTGTACAATGTTCCAGTTATTCATAGTAATCAAGCCTAAGTTCATCGAGTCATTTATATAAGACAGTTACCCAATACCCTATATTTTTTTATATCAGTAAGACTTCAAGACAGATAATGCCCTACAAACCGTACACACTCCTGCTCAGTGTCACTTGTTTGATAGTTTACATCTCCACATCTAAGATTGTATACCTTCATGTCAACATCCCCTCATACTAATATGACAATGTGTACTTGATATTTATTTTTTAAATGCAACTTAGAAAAATGACAGCATTTAAAGTATTTACCCATGGTCAATTATACACATGACAGAAATGTTGTGATTTTTTATTCTAGTCCAAATCACCATTATACAGAGCGGTCTAAAGAACATACTACCTATATAAGAGTTACAACATGTTTACACTTACTACCTACATAGTAAAATTACATAATTACAGTTTCTATGTAAGATTACTACCTGTTATCAATGGTAAACATGGGATGGCGATAACATCAGTTGACAATGACATCCTTAGGGTGACCATACACACGTCACCTTTTATCATAAACAAAGTTTGACCTCGGTTGACAGTAGCATCAACAGGGAGACAATACACACTCATTCAAATTCCCTTTTATGTAATTTAGTTCATTTAATCAGAATCAAGGCTGCAGTGTCATCCTAGCAAGCTACAGCCTTCTCTAGGCCTTATAGACCCTTAGAAAAAGTGTCATCCTAGCAAGCTACAGCCTTCTCTATGCCTTATAGACCTTTAGAAAAAGTTGTTGGAACATAATTGACCTGTGTGACCTGAAAAACTGGTGCAGGTCATTCATTTGAGCAAAACTTGAAAGTCATTCATCCAGTAATAAACAAACCGATTATCATTACCGGGGTACTCTACATCTGATGAATCCAATATATTTGAACCCTGTGTCTTCTATCAAATACCGACCTTTCGCTGTTGCCTTGTTTAAAAATTACCATGATAAAGTATGATTACAAAATATGTCAGAGATTACCAGGTAAGTGTTTCACAAGACACCTTCTAAACAATCGATTTGTTTTCGAAACTGAAATCTTTTGCTGTAAACAAAACATTTTTGACCAAAATCAAGTACCAAAGCTTGTCATCATAAATTATCAGCTCTCTGACATTTTAGGGATGAAAAACCTTCTCCACCTATCAGAGTACAACCCCAGTGCTTTGTTTCTGTACAGGTATAGAACTGCACAAACATATAGAACTGCACAAACATATATCTATGCCCTCTCTCTATATATACAAACATTTAAGCTGAACTCTTCATAGCCAGTTTTTCAAAGATGCAGATTAAACTTGTGCCACATATTAAGCTACATATCTATCTTTTGTACAGTCAAATGTTGGTATGTCACATTGGAGACAATATAAACAGAACAGGTGTCTGATGATAACATCCACCATATCATCTTAGCAAGCTGGAATCAGAACAGGGGTCTGATGATAACATCCACCATACCATCTTAGCAAGCTGGAATCAGAACAGGCGTCTGATGATAACATCCACCATACCATCTTAGCAAGCTGGAATCAGAACAGGGGTCTGATGATAACATCCACCATACCATCTTAGCAAGCTGGAATCAGAACAGGTGTCTGATGATAACATCCACCATACCATCTTAGCTGGAATCAGAACAGGAATTAAATACGGAATGTACACTCACAGCATTTATAGTTTCAGAATGCATATTGACAGTGTTGATAGCTCTAGGAATCAAAGGGAGACTACTCTCAGCTATGTAACCACTTTATAACAATAGTAAACGCTTTGTCTCAATGAACACTTACGTATGTACTAATGATTATTTTGATAGACTGACCAAATCTCATGTGACAAAAACCCACTTCCAACATAATAAGGGAGTCTGTAAAACTGGAGTTCAAAATGGATTTTTGTAAGAAATTGCACAACAAAAGAGTTTGTCATAAAACTGATTTTTAACCCTTTCACCACTGAAGACCATAATGGAACCATCCAAATCGATGTATAGTAGAGTTTATTAAAGTAACATAGGGGTGAAAGGGTTAACAAAGACAGACCAGATGTTCAGTGCCTTATCAGCTTACAGTTTCGATGTTCACTTTTTTACAACTGAAAAATAATTTATAATGTATTTACCAGAATTTTGCACCTTGTCATGACTAAGGACGCCATAAGAGAACTATCAAATTATGACCAAGATCACTCTTGAATTTGAACATACTACCGTGTATATTCAGTTTTTTTTTAATTTCTAGAAAAATAAGGCTTTTGAAATGAGTAATTTATCATAAAGCTTCTAAACCAGCCAATGATTTAGAAGCCTTCAATATGAACTTTAATTATAATCTCAATTTAGAAATTTAAAATTGGTGTTTTAATTATAGGTTTAGTTGTACAAAGTCTAATTCCTTTAACTCGGTAATTAACTGGTGTCCACTTCTGTCACCATGACAGTTCAACATCAATTCCACAAAATAGTGATGGATTACAAATATCATGACTAGAAAAAAAAGGTGAAAATATTTGCCATATCATGTTGGATACAACAAAAACACTTTACATACCATATTCTAATTATCTCTGACAATTTAGCACAAGTTTTATCTGCCAAATGTTCAAAATTTTTGTCACCATCTAACAAAATTTTATCTGCCAAATGTTCAAATTTTTTGTCACCATCTAACAAATTTTATCTGCCAAATTTAAATGTCCAAAATGTGTTTAATTTTGTTATCATCGTCTAACTCAATTTGTTGTTTGTTGGACCTCACTTAGATTTAACACTGACAGGAGATATCACTGGTCCCCAATTACTCAGACAGAAAGATCCAATAAGTTCCAGTTACGAAATAGTCTAATGCAATAGTTCCTTGATTCTGCTTTAATAGTAATATTTTGAGTTGATAGGGTTTCCTCTTTGTAATAAAAATGTAAGAGTGTAGATAGAAATTTAAATTTTCAACTTTAATTTTAGGATAAATTGGATTTTGACCACAAAAAATTCCCACTATAAACATATCAGTCAATGAACTATTGTAATTACGGATCTAAAACAGCTTCAGTTTATGCACTATAATCTTTGAACTTATCATCAAACAAAGTCAAGAATCTAACATACAGATGTAAGCTACATCAAAGCTTTAAATGATTGCACTCTGGTCCACAAATATGACCGACAATTATTGAAATACACTGACAACATTATACACTGAACACATGGTCGTCCGCCTCAGCTTGCTCCTCGATTTTTTTCTGCGTCTGCAGGTAGTCTGTATAGAGGATACGGGCCTGGTGCAGGACCTTGTGAACATTATGTTTCCTAACCATCCTGTCAAACATCATGGCGATCTCGTCATACTCTAGCTGTTTCTGTAAGATTGCCTCCCTGTGCTGCATCAGCAGTGTAACACACACGAACATCAGGAATGGGTTGCCATTTCCAAACACATCTGGAGGGGGAAGTCGGATTGATGCAATACTGTGCTTTATAACCTCCAGTGAATTGTCGTCCGATACTTCGGCACAATCAGACAAACTCATTCCAGAGTCATTCAAAGGGAGAGAACTTGAGCACACACCTTTGCCCCCGATAGTCACTGGAGCCCCACTCACAGGAGAGAGAACAGCCTTTCCTGGGTACATCTTCTTACCATGTACTAACCCATTACTAAGGAAAGATTTTTGGGAAGAGTTACCCATGTCCTTTACTTTGAGGTCAGCATTACTGTTTTGCACTGTCAGAGGGTCCTGTACAATATCTGGTGCCTTAAAACCCGCCACAACCTTCGGAACTGAAATTTCAGTAGGCCTCTTTTTTGGGATTGAAATCAACTCTTTGACATTGTGGAAAAACCCGGGTCGTTCCCCTGTTTTTTTGACAGTTTTATTGTCGGGGGCGACAGATGTCTGTCCCTCTGTTTGTCCCTCATCTGTAGAATCCAGAGAGAGGTAGAACTGGGAATGTCCGCTGTCATCTTGATCTTCATCTATGTAATCATTGCACAATTCATCGTCCGTGGCATCTGACTTAAACTCTGTTGTCAAGGAGCCACGGCAAAAGTTGGGGTCATTGTTTATACTACCGTCTGGTACAGCCTGGTCCTTAGAGAAAAGGGTTTCCACCTCCTCACTGTCTGTACCGTCTGTGGGGGTCTCACTTGTCAGGTCCCCATTGTAAAAGGAGCCTGCTGGACGCTCGTCATGAACACTACTGCTTAAATCCGACACACTGAAAACTGAATCACAAGAGGCAACATCTGTTGTCTGTTCTTTCAGAACTTCAGCTTCTGTGTCTTCTGAAATTTGTGCTTCAGTTTGAATGTTTTTAACATGATCATGTAATTTTTTAACTTTTGACTCCATCTCTGTTTCCAGAGACTTGTCGATACAGGAAGATTTCGCCTGGGCGTCAACAACCATCGAGTCCTTCATAGAAGGAAAATCTTGTGCCCCAACAATGGACTTCTCTTCCTCAAATGGAGAAGCCTTACCAGTGTTTGTCACATTCTTCGAAACTAAAACAGTGTTATTATTCACAGAATTATCCTCAGTTTCCTCCCCTGTTTGAACCTTGGATGATTTCACTCGTCTCATATTCCTAAACTTCTCATAAATACTTGGTTTCTTCGAGAAAGATGGCGAGCAGGGTGACGTTGATAAAAGAGACAAAAAATAGTCCTGATCTGTCAAGGGGAGCTCACTCTCTGGGTACATAGGTGGCAGCGTGCTCCACATCACCTCCAGCATATACAGAGCATCCTCAAATGGGAATTCACGCTTCAGTTCCAGCAGTAACCATCGGTAGCAGAAGAATAAGTCTCCTGCATCGTGCTCCTTCAAGTACGCATACAGAACAGGATCATGCAGTTGGAGAATGTCACTTAAATGTTTGAACTTAAGGCTCATTGGATTTTCATTCAACATGAAGTTTGATTTCATCCTGGCCATGATCCCACAGAAGCAGAGATAGGCCTGAGCCTCATCCTTCTGGATGACGAGTAGCGGTGACGCGACGTCGCTCATACCCTGACAGTACGACACCTCCGGGTGTGTGATGGCATAGGTGACTAAGATGTTGAACAAGGACAATAGGTTCTTACTGTCGTCACCTCCCGCAAAGTACTTAAGTGTCCTATCTGTCCTCAGGACGTCCTTCTTAACCATCGATGTTATATAACGGAGGTCCTCCGAAATCGACCCAGAACTGATGAGGTTACGCCATTTGTCCCGGAGTTTGTAGTACTCATTCTCTTTATGTTTCATATAATCAAACCGTTCTTTTCCAGAGAGTCCAATTGGGAATATGTTCAACAGGTGACGCCACACAACTCTACGCAGGGATGGCTCCACCCCTCCCTGGTAGATACTGATTCGGAATTCCTCTGGTTTTATCATATGACCACTGGAGTCCAAGTAGTTCCTAAACTCCATGTCTGTCATTGGAGATTTTGACGGCCTATAGCGTTGTTCATCCTCATTTCTCAGACCTGGCGGTGACAAAACAACAAATCGTTAAATGTAATCAAACATAATATCGTCACAGATATGATATTTTATAAATCATACAAAGCATAATAAGCAGGTGTCACACAGGTGCTGGATTCAATTGACCCTTCCCCCTAAAAAAAAAATCTCGCACTTGAGCAAGACTACCACTTTTACTACATAACAAAAGTAGCAGGGTGGCTAACCTGATTCTGTCATTTTTTAGGGGGAGGGGTTAAGGCTCTGTCATTTTTTGTTGGGAGGGGTTAAGGCTCTGTCATTTTTTGTTGGGAGGGGTTAAGGCTCTGTCATTTTTTAGGGGGAGGGCTTGAGGCTCTGTCATTTTTTTGGGGGGGGTGGGGAAGATCAAGTTACGGGCCACAGAGAACTGTGTTCAGTATTACAGTTTATGTAACCTCTGGTGATGAAACAGTACTATAACACTGATGTACTGGTTAATGAGCTATATCAGGGTATAATCATACTGTAGTTTGAGATTTGTGAAGACACCGTGTATATCTTTATTTTACTGTCACAATTTCAGTTTTCGTGACAACATGGAACAGAATCAGTTCAACAAATCTTCGCAACAGTATACCCCGGTAATCATTATATACTTAATGTCAAACATAGCAGGATATACCTACAATCTGATTCATACAAGCTAAAAACCCCAAACGTGAGGGAGGAAATCTTGGTCATTCTGACATGGATTAGAGGTGTCAATCAAACCAAAGTGAGGCAGAGTTACACTGACATTTCAGGGTATCATTCATGACATCAGTTATAATCAATTTCATGATATGTCACAGTCGATTGGGGTTTATGACATCATAAACCATCATGAACTGAGCTAATTATATGCAAATGAAAATTGTGGGTTAATGACATCATAAACCATCATGAACTGAGCTGATAACATGCAAATGAGAAATTGGCAGAGGTTAAGTTGTGGTTGAGCAGTCACTAATTACTTCAACTGAACAATCAAATACCCTGTTACAATTAAATTAATAAATTAAAATATTGGTAAAAACACAGGTGAGCGTGAGGTGTTCACCATACCATAACCTGTGTCTAGGGTAGAATGCATGTGTGTGTTCGGTGATGTGTTACTTTACCATAACCTGTGTCTAGGGTAGAATGCATGTGTGTGTTCGGTGATGTATTACTTTACCATAACGTGTGTCTAGGGAAGAATGCATGTGTGTGTACGTGTGTATGTAGGCCTGTGTGTACTCGTCCACCACCCGTGCTACAGTGTGTGTGATGTCCACCAGGTGGAGCTCCTGTGATAACTGGTACACATGAAGTGTCCAGTCTTTTACAGTGTTTACCGCCGACGTGTTAGCTGGGAAAATACGGAAAACTGATAACTAAATATATAATGTATCAAAAAACTGTTCAATCAAATAAACAAAAAAAA